AAGAAAAATAATAAAAAGTCAGCTTTCAATAAAATAAAACAAACTGTAGTGCTGCTGTAAAGTGTTCAGTGTTACCGTTACATCGAACGTCTCATCTATCAGCCTCAGTGCTCGCTGCAATCACACACATTTTCCTCCGTGAACGCTCGTACGGTTTAGTAACATTTTCTTTGGCGTTGATCCTGGAACGAAGGGTTATTTATGATTGTGTTGTTTGTCTGCGGTTGGAACAGAAAGCTACAGTAGCTAGCCGTGTGAGCCAACGCTATCAAAATGTAAATACTGGAAGAAATTACGACCCGGTCACAAAGAGCCAGGGGTTCGTCCTCGCACACGCTCAGTGCGTGCCGGCGGCGGTGTTTGCAGGTGAAAGCCAGGCCACTTTCCTCTGTAGGGTGCTGGTGTAGTGTTAATGGGCCCGTGGAGGGGGTGCTAATTGATTCATTCTCCCCACTCTCATTCTCATTATCACCCGTTCCCAGGGTAGCTTGTATCTCTCCAGGTTCCCCCCAACAGCCTCCCACGTGTCCCTCCTCCCTCCCTGCAGTTTGACTGTCAGGGGACAGGTGGCGGGGAGAGTCCCAAACCTCGGCCGGGATCACAGGTGGAAGGTGGAGGAGGGATGTCTCTGAGATGAGGTTATTGTTGCATCTGGCTGAGTGAACTGGTAATGATGGTGTGTGTTAATCCACTTCTCCTCTCTCCCACTCCTCCCCCCCGCCACCTTGTGTTCACAGTATTCGCAGCGTGATGCAGAAGTACCTGGAGGAGAGAGACGAACTGACATTTGACAAAATTTTCAACCAGAAAATTGGTAAGTCCTTTTTATTTTTATTTTTTTTAATCGCATCACAAATCCACTCAGAAGAATCAGACGAGAAGTTGTAGACGTCGGGATAGAACGACGAGCCTCTCAGACCGCTCATATACAGACAATTAAATAAAACGATTGTGTGAATTACATTCGGCTCAGAGGAGTCACGTACAATGCTTGTGTGAATGTGATCACATTCAAATAAATCTGTAATGAAAACAGTTTGCTCAGGAAACCAGTCGGCCAGTGACGGACTGATGCTGGCTTTTAAAGGCTGATATTTGTGTTTCAGAGTTTAATAAATCCATTAATGACATATTGGTATAGTTACATATTTCTGATTTGGCTCCAGGTTGATAAAATACCTGGAATCATTCAGCTCTGAGGCTAACAAATCTTTTATAGAGTTTTCTACTCGCTCGTTTGAACCATGTCAGCAGCACGACTCTAGTAATGGCGGCGTCGGTCTGTCGGTTGGTCGCTCATTAAACCAGACTGAAATATCTCAACGACTGGATGGGTGGGAATGGACGTACTACTATATATCTATATTGTATTTATTGTATATGTATACTATCATGTACAGACGTTCATTAATCCAATCAGCGTCAGTTTGTAATCTTTATATGCTGATATCAAACGTCATCTGCGTGTTAAGAATTGTCCGGAAGTATTTCTTAACCCGCTTACGTTAGCATGTAGCTGGAAGCATTGCTGTATAGTTACGGACACTTGACTGCTACTGTTGGAAACAAAATCAGTGAACCACACCATCGTATCAAGGGCTCGTACTGTAGCCAGCATCGGGGAGAGGAGGAGAATAAAACTCTATTTTCCCACCGAGACATAAAGAAAATTACTCTGTAGATCTGACTAGAATACCTTTTTAGCAAGCCTATTGGCTTACTCTTACACACGCCCGTAGGCTTTCACGTCACAGGACTGCGATTGGTCCGGTACCCACCGTGGTTGGACTGTTTTTGGTATACATATACACCTTCGGTTACAAACGTTGAAAGCCTGAATCAGACCCACAGTTCAGCTGCGGTTTACAGTAAACGTCGGCTGCAGCTGGCTGTGCGGCACTCGCCACTCAGGGAGTTGAGGTGGTGTGTAGTGACTAACGCACCTCTTTCTCCTCACAAAGTGTTTTTACTTTTGCTTAGGCGCAGAGCCGTGGGTGAAGTAAAAAAAAAGGCTTTTTCACATTGTCCTGAAGCGCTGACGTTCAAGATCAGGCTTTACTTTCTCCGTCACCCTGATTGGTTGTTTTTTACTACAGTTTGTTCCTCTGTTTTTCTGTTTTTTTTTCCTCTTTCAGATCAGATCGCAAGAATTTGGTTTTTCTGCCCAGCGTAGGTTTCTG